CTAGTTATGTAGATAGTCTGAGGCTCTAAGTGCTTCTTACACAGATGACCAGCTGTCATCCTCTATGCTCCTTTTCAGAGCCTTCTAATTCCCAGGGTGGGCCTTCCTCTGGGCTTCTCTGTCAGCTTAGGGTTAGTTTTCTCCAGTCGGTAAAGTCAGTTATCACTCATCCATCTGCTTTGCTCCTTCCAAATTGTTGCTATTGTCTCTTTTTCCATTTTTCTTTGTTCTTGTGGGTTTTTACTTAAAAAAAATAAAAAGTGTTGACTGTCATTTTAGTGGCGTTTCAGGAGAAAACATAGGCAGATGTGGCTTGATATGCCATGTTTTTGTTACTTTCCTTTTCTCCTTTCTATAAATTACGATTATCCTATTTTCAGATCTCTACCTTTGTATACTGGGTATGTGAGTGCTTAAAACTAATCATTTGGTCCATGGTAGAATGGGTTAATGAATCACAAAAAGACATGCATAGACCTGATCTGGACGAATAGACATAACCTTGATGTCCCGGGCCCAGTGCTGTCTACAGGAGGTGGGTAAGACTCCTGAGAAAGGTGTGCAGGCATTTGCAGTCATATATGGAGAGCTGCATTGTGTGAAGAAGGAAAACTCTGGAAGTGGAAATGTGTATGGGAAGGTTGTGTGAGAAAGTGTATGTCAGTATGTATACACTTTTGCACACATCTGTGTGCTGGGTAGCAAAACTGTAGTCTGTCAATGACCTCTGTTATTTTTCCTTCCTAGGATCTCTTTCTTCTGTTCTTGATGGTATAACCTTCTTTTGGGGAAATTCTCCTCCCTCTGTTCTGATGACACAGGTCCAATGGGTGTTGCCTATCACATATACACAGGATGGGCAGTAACGCAATCCCAGCCAGTAAGGAGCCTTCCTTCGAGTTCTAAGGGAGGAGAAGCACAACCTCTTGAGTGACAGCCCTGTGACGTGTGTCTGAAGCCATCGGCAGTATTGAGAAGCAGCACTTCTGCAGTAGGAGGAAATGAAGACGGCTCACTGAGAGAAGCCCTGAGATGGAGGGCATCCTGGTGGCATTTCAGTTGCTCTGGCGATCCATGGACACTTCTGTCCTTCCCTTTCTGCTTTTGGCTTTGTCTCTGTGGGTTTGTGCCTTTTTTTTTTTTTTTACTGTGATAAAACATACAACATGAGAACTACCCTCTTAACAAATTTTTAAGTATACAGTACAGTTTTGTTCATTATAAGCACAATATTTACTTATTGATTAGAACTTTTTCATCTTACTAACTGGATTTATACTTTTTAAAGTTAAATTTTAATACATGAAATTAAAAGAGTTGACACTAATATACCAACCAAATACACAAAGCAAAAAGTTTCATATTGAAGGTTTTCTTTACTGCCATAGTTATATAAAATGCCCACAGAATTGTAAAAGTTAAAGTATTCATAAATAAAGGTAAAGCTTTAGAAGACATTTAAAAAATAAAAAACATTAGCATCATTTTCCACATTGGTCTGAATATACGGTATGACTTAAAGCAGTACACAGTGCAGAGCATGATGCCATAGTCCACATTCTGAACCTTGGGGAAGGAGAGGGAGAGAGGCGAGCCTCGGAGGAAATCACACAGCGGAGGGGGATTCCAAGCGTCTGTTGTGAAGTTTCAAAAGCTGTTTGTTGTTTGTTTTTAAGTGTACTGTTTCGATTATCTTAAAAGAGAGCAAATTTCCAGAAACGATTTAGTCTAAGGCAAAGATGAAATTTCTTTTCAATTACAGAAATACTGATATGGGACTATCAGAAGGATATTATACAGGGCAAATCTCTAGAGTAGAACCTCTCAGGAACATAATTTATAGAATTTCACATGATAGCCAGCATCATTACCATTTATATGGTTTTCTTCTGTAAACAGTAACCCTTACATTTGAGTTCATTTTCTATTTGGACTAATATATTATTATTTTTGACCATTTGGCTATCATTGTTTTTTTTCCTGAGGAAGATTCGCCCTGAGCGAACATCTGTTGCCAATCTTCCTCTTTTTTTTTCCCAGGCAAGATTTTCCCTGAGCTAACATCTGTGCCAATCTTCCTCTATTTTGTATGTGGGTTGCCACCACAGCATGGCCACCAACAAGTGGTACAGGTCCTCACCCGGGAACTGAACCCCGGCTGCTGAAGCAGAGCACGCTGAACTTAACCACTAGGCCACGGGGCCGTCCCCTGGTTATCACTATTTTTATATGCACTGCCTACTGAAAAGGTAGAAATTGGAGCTCAAATTTTTCCTGCATTTTTATTACTGGGCCTGTTCTTGTCTGATTCAGTGATTTACATCTTATGCTGAGTTCTAAAGGAAACCTCTTATTTCTGGAGAGTAGCTGTATCCTTTGAGGATTCTCTGCCCCAGCAGAGGAAGGCTCTGTGACTAGGATGATGTGCTGGGTTCCTGGCTTTCATCAGACTCTGGAGAGACAGGTCTGACAACATTCAGAGGAAGAAAGAAAAACTGATGAGTCCTCAAGGAAGTAAACAGAATACTAGCTGGAAATATATACTGTTTGGTAACTGGGGCCATGAAGAGCCAAATCTATGAATTATGCAATTAATGTACACACATTATATCATAATCTCATCCTGAATATAAATGAAATCTCCTAAAATTCCCAGGAGTATATTATTAGGATGGGGGTATCTTGTTCCCATGTAGCCTCCAGCCCAGCAACTACTCTTCATGTAAGTTACAGAGTATTACCTTCCCTTCTGGTCTGCTAAGGGCTTTGGCTGCCTGTGGTCTGCTGGTCAGTCCCTAGAGAGTCTGCGATAACCACCTGTAGGACTGACTAAGTCTATCTACAAAGAGATACTGGCTGAAATGCTAACTTTAAAATAAAATCCTAACCCAGGCTATTCTGTTTTCTCTGAAACAACTTTCAGAAATGGTAGATACTTGTGACTGACAATTGCAGCTGGCCACTTACTATTAGGCCTGGGGCTTCATACAGCAACACCGAGCCTAACGGGTAGTCCTTCTATAGAGGTGGCTGTGATCATTACTGATCCTGAACCCCTTCTTTCAGTCTTCTCAAGCAATAAAACCTTGTCCAGAAAGATGTACTCCCTGTAACAGCCTCTAGCAGCTACATTCAGCTGTGGTCACTGAAGGTCTGGTGCCCTTGGTCACCAGGCACTTGGGGCCCTCAGGAACTCAGGTGACTCAGGGTGACAAAACTAGTAAATGAAGAGAAGAAATCAGATGAAGTGAAACTGTAATAGCTGGTGTTGCTAAAACGAACATACAGCCTACAAGCTGACTTCTTTCACTAATCCACTCTGTCTTCCTACTTTTGAAATGGAAACATCCTTGAGTTGATATTTAGATTCTGGGTCTGGCTCTGAAGGCTATGGGTGGTTAACATAAAAAGCTAAGGACTAAGCCCAGAAAGGGTTATTGTAATATCTAGGTAGGTGGGAGAGGTTTAATTGTTGTGTATTCTTCTGCAAGCTTTCAGCTCCTCAGGAGAGGGCATTATTCATAAATTATTCTGTTACTTCCCCTACCTGTTCTCTCATCATAGTTTATTTCTTAAATAATGAAAACAATATAAAATTCTCACACAAACCTCAGAAGGTAGAAACTGTTATTGTCCCCATATCACAGATAAAACAATAAAGATAAGAATCTTGCTCATGGTCAGGTGAGAGCCAGGGCTCAAATGCAGACGGTCTGGCTCAGAAGTCTAAGCTCCAGTACAGGGTACCACTCAGCTCTGCCCCAACGAAGCGGCTGGCTGTGCCCCTGCTAGGAGCAACTTAACAGGGCTGCGGGCAGGTACCGTCACCCGGCCAGGGTCTTGAGTCTCCACACAGATAACACTGTGTCAGCAGGTCACTGATTTATTGAGTCCGTAAATCCTCTATTCCAGGGTAGCCCTACGGTTTACTCCTTCCCTTCCTTCTAAGGCTATTTCCTAAACTTGCTTGATAATAAGAATCACCTGGAATACTTGCTAAAAGCATAACTTCCCGAGATCTCAGGATCCATTTGGTCTGATGTGGTCGCAGAAATCCATATGTCTAACAGGCGGCCCAGGTGATTCTTCCCATCAGCCAAACTTGGGAAACACTGCTCTAGGAGTTTTAGCCAATGGGAACAAACATAGGTGATCTTAAGTATATATTATATATTAAGTCAAAGTATTATTAAGCAGATGGCACTTCTACAGCTGAATTAATCCAAAGCCATCAGTACACATGGCACAAAGTGGTTTTCTGCAGGAAAGACTTGAGGAGTGGGTTGGAATGTCTTTGTTGCTTCTTCTCTTTTTGAGGGATGACTGTTAGAAAGAACTCTTTAATGGTTGTGCCCTTGAGGGAGTTTCTGCCTTGCTCTAGTCATTGAACAGCTTAAATCAAATAGAAAGTAAGCCATTTTATGTAGTTCTTTTAAGTCCTGCCTAAGAGAATTTTGGAGAAGGGTAAATTAAATAAAGAGGAGAAAGGAGTACACAGTTCTAGTTCCCTGAAGGACCCTAAAGGAAGCTCCTTATATAACGAAGAGAGGGACTCAGGCTTTTCCACTTAAATGCCTATGAATCATATACAAGATGATTTAGGAGACTATAAGAGATTTCAATTTACACAGTCTAATTAGGAAGCAGAAACAATATCTGACACTCAAACAACTCAAATGCAAAACTGTTGAAATTCATGAGTATCAAAATATTGTTCAATGTTAAAAAAGGATCCCAAACATGCCTAATCGGCTTTGACACTATGTTCACTGCTTGTCACAAATGGAGACTTTCCACCTCAGGCACCACTCAAAGGCAGACTCCTTCAGTTGCTATATTTATGAGTTAGTAGGAAGAAAAGGAAGATAGAAAATAATATTAAAAGACAGTCAAAGGAGGAGAAAGCAAGCCAGTCCTTTCTGCTCTGTGGAATGCTTTGATTCCCAGGCCAGAGGCCTGTCCCCAACTCTGAGCAGGACCGACGCAGAAGTTGTACATACCTCTTGGTGGGAGTGGGCACTCCAGAGGACATATGGCTCACCATGGTGTCATTCATATTAGTCAGAGGGCGAGGAGGACTGGAAGGAAAGACATTTACATTATATTAATAATTACCAACATGATTAGGGAAGCAAACGAGAGTGATAAGGGCAAAATAACCCATGATCATTCAGGTTCTTTTGTGATAAGCACATTGGGGCCCCCCAGGGAGTGGACGCAGAAATCAATACTTCTCGCCTAAGCAAATTCAACAAGAGGGTTGCTCGCACAAAGCCGACGGACATCGCTGTGCTGTCCCCGGAGAAGCAACTCATTCTGCACACACTGCTACAGGGATGCAACTCCGTGGCTTCTGTTTTGTAGTTTTAGTACACAAGAATCTGAGTTCTGCCACTTAGCTAATTTCCTGCATTTTAGGTGCTTACAGGATTACTAGGTGCTTGTGGTATATTACAAAGGTCACAACAGCAACATGCATGCCTTCCTGAGATTTAGTTAGAGTTCACTGACTTCCCTCAAACTTAGTTTGCATACTTTTTACCAAAACAATTAAAACATTAAATACTAAATTCTTTTATTAATCCTTTACTAGAATCTTAATAATGAACCCACATTTTATACCTATACTCTAATTAGAATGCTTTCTTTTATAACCTAACCCAAATTTAAATTTGAAGGTAAGCATTTTTGATAACTTCTTTTTAGTTGCGGGTTCTCTGGACTCAAGGTCTATTTCTCCCTCTTGTAAGAGTCTTGAATGAACGAATCCAAACTTCTCAAAAGGAATGATTTTCCCTTTCAGACCCTCTCCCTCTCCATCAGGTTCGGCTACAAAGGGTTTCTGTCTTGCATTTGGAGCCACATGACTATTGCTAAATATTCCCCCTGGGAAATTTCTCACTTCCTTTCCTAAATTGAAAGAAGTAATTTTCAGAGAAATTTGTCCATCAAAAGCAGAAAAGTGAAGCAGAAAAGCCCCTCTCTCATATTTAGCTGCTTGGGAACTACCTCCTGGTTTCTCCTTATCTTTAAGAGCTGAGCTAATTATGTAAAATGTTTTTGTAGAAGTCATACTTCACAAGTCTTGGTGAACAGTAAGGGGTCAGAGCCTGCATGGTTTTGGAGGTTTCACAGTATATTCAAACAAAGGCTCAAGGGAAACTTTTCAGGCCAAGTCAAGGAACTCAGAGGAAAAGTTAAGAGGGAGGGATGGGATGGATGGATGGATCTCTCTCTACAGCTATCTATCCACACACTCCTTTTCCAAAAACCAATTTCACTTCTGGGTAGGGAAATATTTTTAATGACTTCCCATTTAATGGAGAGGATCAAAGATGGGAAGTAATTTGCAGGGAACAGATTAGGTCTCCTGATTTTTAAGCCATAACACTATGCTTATTGTTACACATTCCTCTCTTTGTGTGAAAGTTGCTAAGTAAGACATTCAGGATTAAAATACACCTTTCTAGGCTAGAATTCAATTCCATGTTATTTATCTCACTACCTATCTCCCAGACAGATATTCAATTTTGCCCCCAAACTTTCAAGCCTATTAATACTAGTGGCTGTGCTGAGTTATAATCAATTGTTTTAGGCTGACTAATAAAGAAAGTGAAAGACAGAGATTAGCTTAATTTTAGTCCTAAATTTATATTTTTGCCTCTGGTTCTTTTAATTCAGTTGTCCAAATGGAACAAGGAGACAATTCCTCCGAAAGAAACAAATCCAGCATCATAGCTTTTCATACTTGAGGGCATCAGAAACATTCTTGTCCTGGAAATACAATGGGCTTTCCTTCTGTAATATATTATTATTAGCAATCCATTTCCAAAATAAGATAAGGACATGTCCATGTTGCTTTCAGAATTAACGCAATTACCTAGTATATTTCAACACTGAAGATACTACTGCATTCAATTTCCTTTCTCACATTCTCAGAGGAAAAATGACAACAGAAAAAAATTTTGTTTTAATTCCTCAAATATGATAAAACATCATGATTTGCAGTGTTATGTTTGGTCTGATGCAACAAAAGTCTTTAATAATCATCTCTATCTCTTGGCAGATATAATGCTTAATTATTATCTTATAGCACACATATCACAGCCTCTTCTTTAATATTGAAAACCAGACAGTAATGATTACATCGTAAGCTATAAACTAATCATAATTGCCCCCAAATTTCATATCCTTTTTGAACTTCTAACATGTTTTGCTAGGGAAATAGGTATGCATTTGCAGTCCAAGATGAAAGAGGCATTTGAAAACATACAGGGGGTCTTTACCATAGGATCTACCACTAGACCCACAATTCACTAGGAAAGCCAACAGCTCAGCTGTGGTCTCAGGAGATGTAATACACCAAAAATGACTTCTGGCTTATAAAAGAAAACTTCATAGTTCATGTAAGACATAACTGAAAGGAATGCTTGCAGGTGTAAGGTAGACATTGATGGTACCAATTATACAAACTTAGAAAGCAGTAGAATTGACACAACTCTTCAGATCAGTTTTGAATACCTTGAACATGTCACCAGATGTTGTATATCTTCCTTTGGTGAAGATCTCAGCAAGGTATCTTTGGACACTAATGAGTTCCATGGTACCCAAAGGACCACCAACCATCACTTGGTACAGAGATTTGGGATATTCCTTCTTTGTTAATAAGACATGCCAATTTTTTTTTTTTTTTTTTGAGTTGGAGATAGAAGGTAATTTGCTAGTCAGAAGAGGTAGGTGTAAAAGGAAGACTTAGAGAATTTGGTAATTCTTAATCAAAGGGAAAGAGGGATTCCTATTGGGTTCCTACTCATAAAGATAAGTAAGACCATCTTTATCTCAATGACCTAACTACCTATCAGTGAAGACAGATATGTAGGCAACTCATCACAATGCAAAGTAATGAGAGCAGCAATACAAGTATAGACAAAGTGCTGAGGAGTCATAGATGAAGAGCGGTTATCCTGCCTGGAGGGATGAGGGGGAAGAGTGCCAGGGTGAAGTACCATTGAGGAGAGAGTTTTCTAGACTTAGAAAAAAAGTTAAGGCTACCCTACCTAGAAGAAATGGTATGGAAAAAGGCACAGAAATCCAAGAGTCCATGGCATATTTGGGTCTAACTTATCTGGCTAGACTCAACGGCGCTCGAAGGGGAGTAGCTGAAAATGCACAGGGAAAGGTAGATTAGGCCTAGGATGTGAATGACAGCTGTTCCATCACAAGCCAAGTTTGGGCCTATACTGTAGGCTGCAGGGGAAGCATTGAAAGTTTTTAAGCCAAAGATGATGTGACTATAATTGGGTTTTAAAAAGACAACTCTAGAAGCTTGTAAAATATTGGTTTTAATCATGGGTGTGCATTGGAATCATCTGGAAAGCTTTTCGTAAAATAAGATACCCAGGCTCTATCCTCACTCTAGTGAATCTGAATCTCTAGGGGCAAGAAGACTCTTTCTAATGCACGCTCTCACTTAAAAATCACTTCTGTAGAATGCATTTGGAAGGAGGAGGGAAAGGAAGCTGGGAAAGGAGGGAGAGGACAATGGCAATTGTCCAGATCAGTGATTACAAGGGTGGACAGTGGTAGTTAAGATGAGGAAGAGAGAAAAGGAAAAATACTGTTGAGGTAAAATAGATAAGATGCAGTGACCAATTAAGTACATGGGGTTAGTGAGTAAAGAATAACTGAAATTTTTACCTTGACTATTGGGTAGGATAGTGATATCAATATCGAAACTAGGTAACACCAAAGGAGGAAACAGGATTTGGTTTTGGGTAGGTGGGGGCAGATAGAAAGAGCAGGAAGGTAAGAGTGAATAGGATTTCAGTTTTGAAATTGCCGAATTTGAAATGGCATTAAGTGCAGGTAAATGATAAAAAAAAGCAGTTAGAAATAGGAGAATGGAACCCAGGTGAGATGCCAAGTTTGAAAATATTTGAGTGCCATAATTTAAATCGTAGCTGTTCATTTGAGTTTTCTGATCACTGTAAAGGTACATTTTTATTTACTGTTTTTAGCTGGAGCAGGATAGCTTTGGGGAAATATCCAGTAAGAGGGTGGCTTAGATAATAGGTACAGAGCTTCTGGTTACTGGTTAGACACAATTCCTGTTATAAATTAAAAATTTAACTTACTGGTACAAGTTATTTTCACGTTACTTCTCTTAAGACCAGACCACTCCAATTCATTCTGGTTGATGCTCTGGAATGTACACTAACTTGAAATTAAAATTACTACAGAATCTCTCTTAAGGTTTTTAAAGCTAAAAATAGATGATGAATAACTCATCATGCTTTTAAATCTTTCAGGACAAATTACATATAACTCTCTATTTCTTTCCTTTATCAAGTATTTGCTGTGTCTCTACCAAGTCGTCGTTACTGTGCTAGCTGCTAGGGATAAAAATTAAAAAGATGAAAATTTAAGCATTAGGAAGAAAAAAATTCAGAAGAAATAATTGTAATATAATGTAATAAGTATTGAATAGTATAAAAACTGGTACATGCTATGGGAAAATATTGAAATCACCTCACCCCATAAAGAAAAATGTATTTCCAGGGTATTAAAAAGCTAAATGTACATGCTTAATTATAGAAATTAAGAGAAAACACATGTGTCTATGGACAGAGGATTTTCTTAGTTCAAAAGCAATGGAAAAATTAGGAAAGAAAAGACCAATTAATTTGATATATTTAAAAAATCAGAAAAGACAGAAAAATACAAATTCAGGGAACTCTTTCAATGAATGTGACAGAGCAAGAATTAATAGCCTTAATATATAAGGGATTCACACAAATTTATAAGAAAATTATTAACATTTCAATTAGATAAATGGGCAAAGTGCAAATACCCCCTTAAAAAGAAAAACAAATAACATAAAAATGTTTTCATTATGAAAAAGCAAAGAAATTTGTTAAAATTACAGACCATTTTCCCTTATAAAAATAACGATTCTTGGGCTGGCCCCATGGCCGAGTGGTTAAGTTCGCGCGCTCCACTGCAGGCGGCCCAGTGTTTCATTGGTTCGAATCCTGAGCGCAGACATGGCACTGCTCATCAAACCACGCTGAGGCAGCGT